CCGCCTGCATGCAAAGCTATCCAACCATTCAATTTAACTTATTGCAAGCATATGGCACTGCCGTGCGGACAAGCAATCGAGAGGCGAGAAGCGAGGCATGCCAGCGGGCAAAGGCAGCCCGGCTTACCATCCGTGTCGAATGCAGTGCCCGTTGCCAGCTTGATCATGACATCTGCCTGTAACTGAGAGATAACACCTTCTGCCTTCCACAGGTCTATTGCCAAAGCCAGAAACTTGCTGAAATCAATGCCTGCTTTGCCCAGCTCGCCCTTCAGCCGCGACCGCTCGGAGCGGCTGCCGGCGGCGGCGCACCGCTCAGTGAAGAAGTCCTTGAACTCCTCCCAGAACACGATGGAATGGCAAAAGAACTTGATCTCGTGGGAGTAGCCTGACTGAACGGCGATGGCGACGCGCGCCTGTGGATGTGCTTCACAAAACCTTTCCCACGAGTTGAAGCGCGACTTCAGCTGCTTAGCTTGGTTAGCTGCACCGCTCAATAGCGGCGTTGGACCTAGAGCCTTGCTGCCGGACTGGGCACCATGCTCATGTGTGCTCATGGGGGTTGAGTTCGTTGGAAAAGCGTATTACGGTTGCTGGGATGCCAACAGAACAAACGGGAGGGAGAATGATGCATGATTGAGGATGATGTCCCCAATGACCCTCCAGGTGGGGGGCCATCATGCCCATCATGGGGCACATCCTTACCGGGAGGCCTACCTGGGCTATAATAGGCTATAATAGGCTATGTATAATATGTGGGAGTGCAATCCCGCACCAGGGCGAAGACGGTTCCTGTCATGCAAATTTGAGCCCCCCATTCCGCTCGGGTGTACACAGGGTGCGTTTCAACTAGGGGGCGGCAGCTGGCCTGAATTCAGTGCGGCATCTGCCTCGATATAGCCCCAATTTGACGGGCTGTTTCAAGCTGATGGCCTTCAACGCTGGCCTCCCAGGAACTCCTGCGAGCTTGTAGAGGCTCATCTAGCGTCGAAATGTCGCAGAGAGCGCCCCGGCCGCTGGCCATCACCTCCCCTGCTGGCTGCCTCATGCACGCTCGCTCTCTTTGGGCTGCAACGGGCCTATCGCTCCTGAACACAGCTCTCCTTGTGTTGATTAGCGATAATAGGAACACCAGAGCCCTACAGGACGCCAACAGGCTGAGACAGCCACAGCCATGATGGCAGCGCGGGAGGCCCCGGGGGCCACCCGGGGGGTTGTTGATGGCCCATGGTGGGCTTTAGGAATGATGTTGAGGCGTAACAGCGAGGTTGAAGGGGCCCGAACAATTTTGCCTATATTGGCCGATATAGATGCCCCCCCGCGCCAACATGGAGGCCCCACATATTGGCCGATTTCTGGCTGATTTGGGCGGCGGTTGGAACCGATTTGTTGCCACATCGCCCTAGTTGAAACGCACCCACAGCCCCAAAGGGGCGCGGGGGGCAAGACGTGACTGGGATGGAAATTTGAGGGATTTAATATCTAATAGAGTGGTTTCATTTGGCCAATCCTGGCTGGCGCCTGCCACGAAAGCGAAATGAGTGGCCTGCCCCGCCGGCACTCTATCTTTTAGCCTGATTCCTTTTGCACGCTTCTTCTGGAGATCATTGAGAGTATATTTACCCGCACAGGCTGCCGTTGGGCGCGGGCCTTCAGGATCCCCCGATCAGCCATGCGCCCAAACGGCGCCGCCCGGCGGCAAGAGGTCTCTTTTGTATAGAATGATGTCTAGGGAGCATGCAGGAGGCGTGCAGTGGCGTGCTGTGGCGTGCAGGGCGGGTGCAGTGCCACCGGCATGCCGCCAGCGGGCGGTGGCAAGCTGTCGCAGATGTGTCCTGCTTGATTCCACAGGTTTCTGACTACCAGCACTTCAGGAAATCTTCCTGGAAGTGCTGGAAGGCTGTCTGGAATGTTGTCTGGGAGCTGACATGCATGCCGAGACCACCGCACCGGGCGCCGTGTGGGAGGGGCGTGGGCGGTATGCAACGGGCCGACGCCCGACTCTATCGAACATGCCCAGGGGTGCCAGCAGCCACCCGAAGCGGTGAAGTTGGTGAAAACAAACCCAGAAACCTGTCCTGAGTTCCACAGCTGCATACCATAGCCAGGCAGCATGATTGCTGTGGTGCCCCGGGGCGGGGGCGTCACGTGTGACGGCACCCGTGCGCCGCCCTCCACCTAGTCTGCCAAACCGGCTGCATTTCTGCCCAAACTTCACACACGCACACCCAAGCATGTAATGAAGAAGATCTGAGAAAGGGGCTTCCATTCTGAGAGGACTGCAGCAGTGGCAGTGGTGCAGGTGGCCATGGGGCGGCGACGCCCGCCGCGGCCCGCCTGGCGGCCCTCTGTCTGAAGCCCCTCCAGGCACCGCCGCCCTCCCCGCAGCCATCCATAGCCTCACACCACCCTATGGAGCAGAGGCAAAGTGCAGGAAGGTGTGCAGGAGGCGTCCAACAGGCTGCCGCCTCCCGCCGACCCCCTGCCATGCATGGCGCCATGACTTGCTCCACATAGCCTCTTTCACCGCCCTGCCCCTCCCAGAGCCTCGGGCCCAACAATCGGGAGGAGAGCAGCGAAACAGCGGTACATCGGGCGCAGCAGGCAGGCCTTGAAGCCTCCCTGAAGAGGGGGACACTTTCAGGCTGCCCGGGAGGCCCCGATGTCCCCCTGTTTGGAGCCACCCCGTGTGCTGGATCGAGCGTGCAAGCGCACGCTGCCCCCGGTTTCGAGCTTTTGGTGTCGCCAAGTCCCCGCCCCCCAAGACCGCCGCCGCTTCCACGGCCACCCAGGTGCCTCCGTTGCCCTTTACTTGGCTGCACTGTGGGCAGCTGCAGCCTGCCCGCCATCTTCTGCACATGCTTGCGGCTCTCAGGTGGTCTGCCCTCCTGTGCACGGCGCAGTGTATGGCAGAAGTGTCTGGCAGAGCGGCCAGCTGAGCCGCCTGTAGTTCTCAAGCTTGCAATCCCGTGCTCCATGACGTGTGCAGCCCCAAGCCGCCACCCTCCCCAAAGCCCCCACCACGCCCTCGTCCGCCCAGCCCCCGCCCTCCACCCAGGTGCTCCTACCTGCTTTCCTCCGCAGCGGGCCCAGAACTGAATCTGTTGCTTCTTACTCGGTTGATCGTACCGACGGCTGTGCTCATACCTTCACTACTTTCCTCCTGACCATTTCGTGCCATGTTTTGCAGTCCCAAACCTCCACCAAGGCCTCGCCCCCCTTCGCCAAAGCCCCCTCCTCCTCGCCCTCCCTCGCCTCGGCCCCCCAGTCCTCGCCCTCCCTCTCCAAAGCCCCCTCCTCCTCGCCCCAAATAGGTTCGCACCCGCTCAGACCACAGCGCGCGCAGCACGACATCCCTCCAAATGTCTCCTCCACCTTTCTGAATCTGCTTCTGTCCCCCAGCCCTCCCCATCTGAGTATATCGCTTTAATCCCTTCTGATGACTTTCAGCTCAGCCTTTGACCCATTGACCCACTGCGGGCATGCACACTTCCAGCAGCATTAATATCCATTGCATGTTTGTCAGGAAAGCTGGCCCTGTAAGCACCTCGCACCCAGCAAGCCGCACTGGAGTGAGCAGTGGCAGCTCTGGGCGCTGCCAGTGGCGCCACCAGACGCAGCCCCGTCGCAGCTGACCCGAGCTGGCAAGTGCAAGCCCCGCCTCGGCGCCTGCCGTGCCATATGCCACGTACATTCTGCAACTCAAATGATCCTGCTACCTCGCTGCATTACACACCATGAAGCAAACAGACGCCTGGGACGCCCCAGGCTGAGGTCGTCTGTAGGCGAACAGGTGGCGCCAGCAGGGAGTGTCACCTACACGTGCACAGGAACCGGCAGCACTGCTCATGAGGCGGCTGCACACGCACCTGTGCATGGCACAGCGAGCCCGAGGCCAAACCCCGACCCACCTGCAGCCTGTTCCTCTGCCAGGCTACGACGGCGTTGGGCGGCCGCCATTCATCAACCGCCAGGTCCCTGCTGCCGCTGCGGGTGTTGCTGTAGTGGACAGACCTGCTGCTGCTGCTGCTGCTGCTAATGCTCAAGGTAGGGACCGGTGGTCGGCAAACGGGGCTCCGCAGCCAGCCCAGCTGCTGCTCCCCACGTGTACCCTTCGCCGCGGCGGCTGCCATCAGCTGCCAGGTGTAGGCGACAGCCGCCGGCTCCTCTGCCCAGCTTCTGACACAAGTACCCTCAGCTCTTCGGCACCTCAGTCTAGCCGGGGTAGCAGCCGGATCGGGGCAACCGCCGCGGCAAAGCCGACGCAGCGCCGCAGGCCGCCTCACTCCAGGCGGCGCAGCATCTCTGGCCGCCGCCGGGCGCGGGCGTCCCCAAAGGCATCCCCAAACCGATCCCGCTCCTCGAGCTGGTACCTGCAGGCGCAGGCGGGACCAGGTGGGGAGGCAGGGAGAAGGCGGCAACAACTGGGCAGGGTTGGGGGAGTTGAAGAATGGCAGGCACCGCCCAGCTGGATGCTCCGCTGGCTCCGCGACTGGCAGCATGGTGGGAAGGCGCTGCAGCAGCCCCCGCCGCGTCCCCCACCCCGAGCAAAGCGCGGCGCAGCGGGCCCGCCTCGCCTGCGCTTCACGCCCCGCCCGTGCGCCTCCTCCATCTCCCGCCGTTGGCGGTGCTGGCCGCCGCGGCCGCCGCCGCCGCCGCCGCCGCCGTCTGCGGCGTCGTGGGCAGAGGGGAAGCTGGGCATGTACTCTGGCAGGCGCGGCAGCGGCCGCTCTGCACCAAGCAGGGGAGTACCAGCAGCATCGGCGGGCAGGCAGCACGGCAGGCAGGCAGCACGGCAGGCAGGCAGCACGGCAGCTGGCGCACAGCCGGGGGTTGGGACCGGCACCGCCAGGGCAGCAGCTGCCGGCAGGTGGCTGTGCAGGGGAAGGCGGCACAACCAGCCGCCATAGCAGGCAGGCCCCAGCCGGCCACCGGCACACATACATGCTGCCCTCCCTGCCTGTGAAGTAGGGGTGTCGCAGCGCCTGGCGGGCGGTGATGCGCTTGTCGGGGTCGTAAGTGAGCAGGCGGTTGAGCAGGTCGATGCCGGCGTCGCTCAGGTGGGGGAACTCCTGCAGGCCCAGGCAGGCAGGCAGGCAGACAGGCAGGCAGGCAGGCAAGGGCGAGATGGCATGGGAGGGTTGAACAGGAAAGGGCGGGGCCGGGCCAGTGACCGGCAGCAGCAGCAGCACAGGAAGGCCGGAGCAGGCCAGCCGCAGCACAGGAAGCCTGCCCTCCACAGCAGCGGCACCAGCGCCAGCGCCAGCGCCACCACCACCACCACCACCGCCACCAGCGGCAGCAGTGACACCACCACTGCCGGCAGCAGCAGCACTGCTCATCAGGGCTGGCGCCGCCCACCTTCCGAAGGTAGTTGTAGGGCTGCGGCGGCAGGCGGAAGCGGTCGAGGTGCGGCAGGCGGCCCACGCCGGGCCAGATGCGCTCGTTGGGGGCGCCCAGCAGGCTCGACATGAGGTCCAGCATGGCGGCCTCTGCGGGGGTTCCGTGGGGGCCCCCACGGAGGGGGGGGGGGGGGGGGATGCGGTTGTGTGTGGGGGGGAGAGAGAAACGCAGCGCGGGCTATGTGGGTGGGTGGGGTCGGTGGCTGTGTTGAGGTGAAGATGAAGATGAGTGAGTGGGCCCTCCTTCCACTCCACTGCGGCCCGCCATCCAGGCAGGTCCCCAGGCCATGCTCCCGCGCTCCCTTTCGGTTTGGATCTGGGGCTTGGCGAGGCCGGACACGCGGCATGAGCGCCTCCTCGGGGCTCCCCCTCCAAGAGAAGTGAATGCAACCCGCACCTGTCCTGCCGGGGAACAGCGGGTCGTTGCGGAGCAGCTCGGCGAAGATGCAGCCGCAGCTCCACAGGTCAATCGCCTCGGTGTAGGTCTCGGCGCCCAGCAGCACCTCAGGGGCCCTGCGGTACAGCAGCGGTACGATGGAGGTACGGTGGCAGATGGGCTCGCCTGTGCGTCGCTATCCACCCGCCAGCCTTGTGGCGCCCCTGCCGGCAGTACCGTTGGTACAGCCAACCCACCTGTACCACAGCGTCACCACCCCTGGAGTGTAGCTCTCCTCCCAGGGCTGGAAGTAGCGGGCCAAGCCATAGTCACAAAGCTTAAGGCAGCCCTGCATAGTGAGGAGGTGTGTGTGCAGGGTGAGAGGAAGCATGCCGGTGTGTGCATACGCCCCAGCACCCGACTCGCAAAGGGAGCCGGGCACACTGATGCCGGTGGCAGCGAGCGGCGGCCCCTTGCGGCGACTGGCGCAGGCGGCGGGCCGCGGGCGCCTGCGTGCCTGGTTTGTGAAGAGCAGGTTGGAGAGCTTGAGGTCGCGGTGCATGACCCAGCGGTCGTGAAGGTAGGCCACAGCAGACAGCAGCTGCGGTAGGGCGGCGGGGAAGAGGCAGGGGGCAGGGAGAGGCAGGGTGGGGGTGGCAGGGTAGCAGGGCGGCACGGGTGGGCTGGGGTGGGATGGGGTGGGGTGCGAAGAGTGCCGCAGACAGGGCGCCACGGGCGGCAGCGGCAGGGCAACGGCAGCCAGCTCGCTGCAGCTCCGCACCTGCTGCAGCAGGCACTTGACCTCGCTCTCGTGGAAGGGCTTGGGCAGGGAGTCCACCAGCTTGCCCATGTCGTGCGGGCAGTACTCAAACACCAGGAACACGCTGTCCAGGCGGGGGCCTGCGGTGTTGTGGGGCCGGGGAGAGCATGTGGGGTGCAGCAGCAGGGGCAGGAGGCGCAGGGGCAGCAGGAGCAGGCAGGCACGCGGTGAGTGGCAGGCAGGGACCCAGGGCAGCCCAGTAAGAAAGAGGCAGCGGCACGGCCCCCATCGCTGCCACTGATGCCAGTTTTCCAGCCACCGCCGCGCCCCACCTGTGACCACCCGCTTCAGCTCCACCAAGTTTGGGTGCTTGCAGGTCTGCAGCACCCGCAGCTCACGCACAGAGGTGACCGGCATGCCTGCAGGGGAGCGGCAGGCGCGCAAAGGATGAGTGGGCTGCCGGCGGCATGTCGATCTCGACATCAGGCGGCAGCTCAAGTGGCGTGGCGTGCGGCGGCGGGTATAATGACAGCACAGCGGTGCAGTGGAGGCGCACCGTCCCGCTCCCGCTCCATGCGCAGCTTCTTGAGAGCTACCAGCTCGCCGGTGCGCTTGTCCCTCGCCTTGTCTGCACAGGTCGCCGGGGGAAGGGGAGTTGGTGCCTGGAGCATGCTGCCACCGTGGAGGCATCAGCCAAGCAACAGCTAACAAGAGCCCTCGCCCCAGCCCTCGCAGCGGCCGGTCTCACAGACGATGCCGAAGGTGCCCTCCCCAATGCGTTTGATCTTCTCGTAGTCCCCCACAGGGTCCAGCACAGGCAGCTCGGCATCGAGGCCGTCTCCCTTGCCGCCGCCGCCAGTGGCAGGCGCAGCGGCGGCAGCGGGCTCGGAAGGCGGCGCTGCCGCTGAGGCTGAAGCCATGCCTGCCTGCAGCTGCAGGTGCGCATAGCAGTGCGACAGGGGCCTCGGCGTGTTGGGCCCACGGGCCCGGCTCCTGACGGCGGCCAGGATGAGGCAGCGGGGTGATGGCGGCAGGTCGGCGGCGCGGTAGCGGCGGGCGCAGCTATGCCAGCAGATAGTGCATGTCCTCGTTGACAGCCAACCGCTCGGCTCATCTGCGGGAAGCGGGGCTGCGGAGATGGGGCGACGATAGGCGTGATGGTGGCGTTGCTGCACTAGAGGCGCCCTTGATCGACGAATTAGCTATGTGTGGGCTTGGTGATGGTGTTGGCGGCACCTTCGCGCTTCTGAGTCGGCAGCGCCAGGTCACCGCCTGATCACCGCCCGCCGCCAGCCCCACCTGGTGCTTGTGGGTCGAGAGCGCTATTCTTTAAGCGTCGGCCATGATGTTGTAATCGGGTCGCATGTGGCAGGTGGTGGGCATCAGCTAGCCCAAAGCTCACAGTTGGTTCAACCGGCAGTGCATCAAGAGGCGCTGCTCCCTGGCAATGCTGCCGCAACGTGGCACGCAGGCGCTATTGGTGGCCAATCATACCACCTTTCTGGATTTATATCCTCGAGTGCAGCAGCTTGTGGATCACTGTGTCTGAGAGGACACCCTACGAGGCGTAGTCACAGGGAAGAGCGCCTGGTTGTAGCCACTGGGCTCCGGCGCCGGCAGGGCCCGGCGCCGCCGCTTACCCACCGCCTTGTTACTGCCGCAAGGGATGGCGGGGAGCTTTGCATGTCAGCAGCTGCTTTAGTTCAGTCAGAAATTAAGGAGACAATTTGCCTAGTAATTCTGCAAATGACGTTTATAACACCCGATGCGGGAGGCACAGAGCGAGCGGCAACAGCAGGCGCAACTTGCCAAGCAGTTGAACAAGCGGGCGCCGCCGGCCGCTGCCATTTTTGAGAAAACGCAATGTGCGCTGAAAACCAGGGTCAGAGACGCTGGAATCGCTGGCTCATGTGTTCAGGGTGGAACCTGGGATGAGAGCAGGGTAGTATCAGCAGGGAGGATTCCTGGAAACACTGTGCAATGTCAGTGGCGGCGAGGTCAACCGCTCGCGCCACAGCCAGTCTGAGAAAGAGAAAGGGGAAACTCCTGGAGTGTGCTGGTATGAATGCGCCAGGGCATGGGCCGCTCATGGCGTCGGAAGGGAAACCAGTGCCCCTCTTAAAGTGCGGTCCTGGCAAGGGTTGCGCGGCGAGCCGCCGCCATCATTGCATGCTGAGGCGCCGGCCGCTCCGCCGCATCTTCTTTCTGTCGTCCATAGGCATGGTCCCTGCACGGCAACAGACAGGGCTTAGTCACGGCAGCCCCACACAGCTGCTTGCATCGGCACCCGCCCCACCACAAACACACACACACACGCACGCACGCGCACGCAGGCACCAAACCTGCCGCTGCCGCCGCTGCCACAGCACACATCATACGGTACACCAGCCGCACCTTGCACTGCTGGCTCCGCCTTGCACGTGATGGGCTGGGGGTCGTCGGAGCCGGGGCACTCAAACTTGACCATCTTCATGCACCCCATGTCCTCGTGTTGCAGGAAGTGGCACTGCAAGCGGGCAGGCAGGGGGGCAGTGGCAGGGAGCGGACGATGAAGGGTGGGTGGGCAGAGGGAGGCGTGGCACGAAGCTTCATCATGAGAAGAGCAAGGCCAAGACGGCCCCTGATCGCGATCCATCATCCGGTGATTTAGGCACCCAGCCTGTCCTGACAGCAGCAGCGCCCCCTGCTGCCACAGCTGCCTGCTGCTGGGGCACTCACATGCATGACTGAGTAGCCAGAGATCTCATAAGGGTTCATGCGCAGCGCTGCATGGCGGGAGCGCGGCGGCGGCGATGAAGACAGGGCACCAGCACCGGTGCCCATGCCAGCGTAAGCAGGTTAGGCACAGGGGCGGCGCTGCTGCCGCCGCTGCTGCTGCCTGGCAAGGGGCAACCCCAGCGCCTCAGCAGCCACAGCGGGGGCACAGCACGGCACGGCAGTGAGGGCGGCGTACGTATGGACGCATTGCTGCGGGTCTGGGGCAGATTGAGGGTGTCATGCCAATCGCCCACCTGCACAAGAGTATTGGCGGCAGAGGCGCTTGTGCCAGTCGGCGGACAACGCACAGCACTCATGGCGCAGCACACAGCACAGCATGGCACACCGTGCGCAGCGCACAGCACAGCGCTAGCATGCCCCCCACCTCGAAGTAGTTGCTGTAGCGCATGCCCGGCTGCAGGGCGTCCAGGGGCAGGGCCTGGATCTGGAAGGGGACGACGTGCATGTGGAAGGGATGGCCGATCATGCCGGTGAAGTCCCAGTGGACCTGCGGGGGTGGGTTGCGGTACCGCATGTATGTATCGCATGTACTTCAGGAATTGTGCAGAACTTGTGGGGAGGGTGGCTGGGCGAGCGCCGCATGGCGGCGCCCTTTTCGCTGCGCCATGCTGTGCATGCTGTGTTTTGCCCCGCTGCGCTCACCACGCTGCCGATGGGCAGGACCAGGGGCTCGGGGTCGGGGTCTGCAGGCAGCAAAGCAAACAAAGAAACAGACGAATGAGGAGCATGCTGCCGGGTGCCA